CAGCCACAGTAACCTATTTTTTCTGTCTGTTATATGTTAATTGATTAAGAGTGTTGAGGAGGAAAACTAATTAGGACTAGTCTGGTGAGTTGGAGCAGTCTTTATTCCTGTTTGCTGTCCAGGACATCGTGTCTTGGACACCTGAGTTATTGATTTTCTTGCAAATATTTGCTTGGATATCTGTGGCAAAAATAAAAGATAAAGGTTAATGCATACATAAAACACACACACACACACACACAGCTACTCCACAGCAACAAAAGCAATACCATCTAGGTAAATAAAATAGTTGCCACACAAAAAAGAGCTGACGCTGCCCTCTGCTGAGCAGTTTTACCCCCCCCACTGTACTTCACACTGGGGTAAAATTTGTACTGGTTGTTGTTCTTTGCCATTGAAGTGTATGTGGTGTCTTCATACCAAAAATCATAGTTCATTCTTGTGTTACAAACTGAGCATAGGAAAGTCCTTAACTGTACGTGCAAGGTAATGCACACAATAATCAGGTTAATTAGGGTAATCAAGAGATTTTTTTTAAAGCTTTTCCAAGACAGAAGCGCTAACTTGATGCTAAATGCAACAGAAATGTAGTCATTCATTACTTAGCTTACAAGACGTGTAGAAGACTCAAAGCCTTTCGTAGGTCAGCCACTTCATATCTACAGTATTACTGAGCCAGTCTAAAGCAGGCTCTTCTAATTAGCTCGCTCCTGTTATGGCTAGTTAGCTTTGAGCTACTTCCTGCCAATCAGCAGGACTGGTTAGTAAAAACATGTAAATTAATCAGTAGGTTTTCTTTCTTTTTTTTGCAGTGATTGTTCCAAACATGCTTAGCCTAGCCTATCACCAATACTTAAGGTTATCAAAGTTACAACATGTACATGTCTCATTAGCTTTAAATACTGAAGTCTCTTGTAGCTAATGAGCAAATAGCAAGCTACATAGCTTAGAGCTACTTTTTAACGTGCAAAGCAGTTGCTGTTGTTTTCTTAGTAGGAACATTTTAAATGAAAAGAAGGCTAACGTCAAGCTTTTTTTTGGGTGGAAGCTAGCAGTTTTCACCTGCTCACAGTGTTGGTGCTAAGCTATGCTAGCAACACACAGAAACAATTGCAAATACTATTTTATGCCTCCAGGTAAGACATTCAAACAGCATCCAAAATATTAAGAATTTATTTACTTACCCTGCGGCTGTTTAGCCGTACAAACAGCTGTGTAAGAGTTCATTTTCATCAGAGGGAGCGTTTTTGATTGAAAACTCAGTTTTCGTTGTGGAAAGCGCTGGGTGATTATGGATGGAAGGCCGAAGCTTCGAAAGAGGTGGAAAAAAAATGTAAATGTGTTTTTGTCGAATTTATCTGCACAAGTGGCGACGCAGAGGGGAGAAAGACAAACAGACACACACACAAACCAGGCACACCCACGTTTTTTTTTCCTACTCTTGTTCCTTCTGTCTTCTTCTATCCCCTTATTCACTCCATCACACACACACACACACACACGCTTGGCTGGCATGCACTAATGGAAAGCTGTGGTCTGGCAGGACTCATCCCGCCACTTTCGACAGTAATTGGCCGTTTGCTGTCAGATGGACGGAACAACACACACGCACAGACACACACTCAGGCAAACAACACACACAAGGAAGCAGATTTGTGGATGTCATTTATCTTTCCTGACTGTCCCTGTTCCTGGTCTTTGTTTCCTCATACAGGCCTCTTTTATCAGGCTTTTTGCATCACGGCTAAACATGTGGAAAACACACTCTCGCTCTCTCTCCTGCCTATCCGCCTTAGTGCCTCCGACAGTATTGAGCCCATGGTCTGTGTGTAATTGCTGCATCTTTGCAGGTTTGGGATGATGTGATGGGCTTTGGGGATTTGTGAGTGTGTGCCGAGTGGCTCAAGGATCAAATAGCAAATGCAGGCTCCCCAATTAGATGTAATCCATTTATTTCAAAGCAAGGCTACACCAAAATCTGATGAATGAGGGGGAAAATGGACGACGAAACTGAACCTTGGAGCAGACGTTTAGGTTTCATGTGGTTACTGTAAATCTGCGCTTACAGTCTAATACGCTATGTCGACAATCTTTGCAGGTGTCGAGCCTATTCCAACACCCAACGCTGCTTTTAACTGGCCGACTCGCACGGTCTCTTTCTCGTCTCGTCCCTTAGTTTACATGCTCTGTGTGTCCATAATTCCTTTCAGGCTGATTGATTTATTTGCTGTGGTACCATTACAGCACTATGCTGGCCCAGCAAGCTCAGTGTCACTGAGATACAGTGTCTCCATTAGGCCAGCCTACAACCCTGTATCTTTTTCAGGGATGCTGTCTGCCAGTGTTGTGTGTGTGTAGATTTAACCATGAAACATAGCTCGGTGCCTTTTCAAAATGAATCCTCAGAAATCTAACCGTTGCTTGCCTCGTGAACATCAAAACTCACGCCAGTAATAATTGACCGACTCGGCTCGAAAACTTGTCTTTCTCCTCATCTTCTTGGTAACCTGTTAACCCACTGCATGGACCATTACATGAACCCCTTTTTCTGTCTATGTCTCTTTCTCACTCCCATTTTCGTCTCTCTGTGTCTGCCCGTGGCTCTGGGCAGGCCCGGGGAAGTTTGACAAGATAATGAATTGCCATGCATGCTGCAGTTTTTCACATTTCACAGCCCAGTAACTCTGTATGTGGCGGTGGAGGAAAGAATGGAGGGGACGGAGGGGCAGCGAGACACGGAGTGAGAGAGACACCAGAAGACAGATAAAGTGAATAAAGGCAGATGAAAGTTAGTCAGAGAGAAGAGAAGATGTTTGTCCATCGCCTTTCTGCTCTCATCTTCTTTTTGCTTGTGTCATTTCCTGGCATGTGTTAATGCAGACACACACACAGTTATGTAATTGTATGTGTAACACAGCTGCTTCCTCATGGTCGCAAAAAGAAGATGAGTGAGGAAACAAAACAAAGGAATGAAGAGAAAAAGAAAGAGACAACAGAACAGAGAAAT